GCAATCAGAAGGCCACTTAGCGAAATGGACCATAGTTCTATACTCAGTGCTCATGCCCCTATACCATGCAAAAAACCATTTTCAAAAAACCTTCCTTGTAAAGCAGTAACAAAACCGAAAGCAGCTGATAAAACTCTCAAAAAACCTAATTTTATTACATGCATATTTATATTACCGTCAAATCCTTTAAAAAAGCTATTAATTTGACACATTAGTGCATTCAGAGAATTTGCCTAAGAAGACCGTACGATTTAGAGAAAAGGTAGAAGAGGTATCGAAGCCTAACCTTGTGTGATCCAGTCCCTCGTCCACGCATCTTGTGTTTGGGTGTATACTGCACATCTATTGGTCGCACATAAAGAATTTTCTTCCTTTCCTCCATCTCCCGCTCTAACAAATCTTCATTTACACGAGTAATGTCTTGAGGGTCAAGTCCGATGAGATCAGGTTGGAGCTGGAATGGTGACCGCATTATGTACAGAAAAGTCGAAAGTTAACCGCTAAAAAAGTAAGGTCTGACTTACCTTGTCAAGGAGCTGTTTCACTTCTCTCTCCCTACGTTGCTTCTTCGTTTCGTATGGATTCGCATGTATGGCATCAACGTTAGCCTCCCCGGAGCCTGCAAGAGGGCTCAAACGTTATTGGAAGAAGTAAGTACAAGAGGAAAGGGAACCAACCTGGAACCAGCGTACTTGTGAATCCGCCGCCGTGACCAACACCAAGGACATCTTCGTACGGAACAAAGGCCAAATCTGTAGCTGGACCACCACAACGATTGACGAGGTAGGGTTCGTGACAAATACCGAGATGCATGTCTTTGAATATCTAAAAAGGGTTATCAAAATCTAAAGTATCACTACATCATTTCTGTGAATTTCGTGAATGTTTCTGGTTTCGCACGGCAGTAATTGCAGGACACACTTACCTGCACAGTATTCCCTACGGCACATGCCACAGCTAAACGTTGACTGATAGCGACACTTGAAAGTCCGAAAGGGAGGGAAAACGCATGTAATTGCTTATACATTCGTACATCCCATACCCTAAACAAATTACCATGAAGTTTCTAAGCTGCACTTGAACTCCCTCTTGATTACCTGCACTTCCGATCGAGCCCTGTCGTCACCATATACTTGCCTGTCTGATCAATATCCATACCTCGTATAGAAGATTGATGTGCTAGCATTTTGACTAACGGTTCTTTTACATTAGGTGACCACAAACAAACAGTACCTTAAAAAGGAAACTTGCGCGAAACCTTTCCAACCACTTTATTATCATCATGAAGAAGGCTACAGCTAAAAAAAGAGGCATGAGGAGTGTTTCGCACGTGGACAATGTTACCTCCAGAGACCAAAAACTTCCGAAAAATACAGAGCAGGGCTTTCCTAAGTAAATTGAAGCCTTCGAACCCCATTTTCCGGAACAAAGATGGAGTAGAAGCAAGCTACTCGAAATACAGACAAAAATTGCATGGTGCTCATTGAAACAGTAAGGAAACTTGATGTTATCTACGAACGTTCTTCTACAGATAGTGCAACACTGTTTTCTTTAAGATAACTTCACAGAAGACATACCAAAGTCCACTAGGACCCGATAAAATTTAGAGCAAGAGAATCGAAAAGAATAATTGAAGCACTACTTGATCCTATCTTTGGGCGCGGGGAGGTGTTGTATGGCAGGTGTCGCACTACATGCATGGTCAGGGTTGGAAACCCGCCCAAGCCTACAAAGTTTTGAAGTCCTCCGGTTAAGCCATCGTCAACTGGTACAAGACTCCTTTTGGAGGATAGAAGCACTGTCTTGTACATCGGCTTTACACCGCAAGTCTGGTATGGGCCACATACGCCTCCAATACGCTACTGCAATTCTGAATAAGTCAAAGATGAGGATTGGGATGAAGAGGATCAAAATCCAGTAGTCACAGCGTCCTTACAGTGGGCAGCGCCTTCTACAATGATTCACTACCAGATTCCACCATAGCCTGGAGGCCAAGAAATATGTAGAAGTGAGTCAGAAATCCGCAAAAAAATTTAGGCTATTGAAGAACGAGTGGTCAAATTTGAATAGTAGGTAGGGACTGCATAAAAAAAGACTACTATAAATAAGGATACTCTAACCATTCAACCAGGTCAAAGCATAGAGAGAAACAATAGAAACATGAAATAGAAACATTTTTGAGTTTCCCGAAAGCAACATAAACAGCTTATTCTGCAACCAAGTTGACCTACCGCTATCGTGTCCTGTGTGGATGATAGCATTGCCGGGATTTTGGCACATAACATCGAGTGAACCCATGCGGGCTGGAAACGACATCACCATTTTCCCTATGGAGACATCGAGCCAATGAAGCCATCCTGTGCCTGACTAAAAAAGATGAGATCTAGTTCGTCAGCGGAATGAATAGACATCGTTTTCGTATACAGTTTAACACTCACAGATCCTACTAAGAGAAAATGTCGAGGCAGGAATTCCAACCGCCGGATTTCATGTAACTGTTTCACGCAATGCAGTTCCGTTCCCTGATTGTCGTACACGTAAGTATAGTGTCGCTGAGCAACAGCGTAAAGGTTTTCTGTGTGCAGCCACCTATGGGAAATTGTATCTGAGCAGACAACTACAAAAAGAAATGGGATTGCTGCGGAAACAAACGAAAAAAGCTCTGCTCAAAACGCTTACTGAACATCGCGCACTGTCTCCATAACATTGATCTCACAATGAAGTTTCTTAGTTTGCCAATCCAATGCCGCTATGTGGCCTTTCTTGCCACCTAGTAGAAGATGACGCCCATTATCCGTGTAGCAGATTCGATATGGTCCAAAATTTTCAAGGTGAAGTTCGAAGTACTGCAAAGAAACAAAAAAAATATCAGAAATAGTGGTACAATTCGACTTTGAGAAAGAGAAAACCAGCCTTGCTAGCATTGGCAATGTCCACGGCATCAGCGATTTCCTTTTGTCGAATTATGTATGTCGGCTCGCCTTCATCTCCTTCTATGAAACCTTCCTGGAAAAAGAGTTTGAGCACCGAGTAACGATTGACTGATTCTACTACTACTAATTTCGGAAAAAGGAAGCCAGACAAGTGAGCTTGCTTCATTTCGTTACTTTCAGCTGTAGAAAAAAACACCATTGAAGGTAGTAAAAAAAGAAACACCACTAAAGGCAGTGAAAAACATTAAAAAAAACTTATAACTTCTAAAAAACCGGAAGCAACACAAAATAGAAGAT